ATGAATGCGTACAGGTTTCAAACACAGACTGTACCAATAGATCAGATAATAGGTGATCTGCCTGGATGAACGAGTGTCAGTTGATCACCTTAACCAAATGTGGACTCGATTTTGTGTTCGTTTCTTATAAAGGGCAAAAAATCAAGAAAGGGTTTTCAAAAAAAATGCATGGTGCAGTATTTGTGTGCCTTGCTACAAAGCAATCACTTAGAAATTGTCTCAGACTTATCTTCGGAAGCATTAATTGCTACCCTAAAGATATTTTTCGCTAGGAGAGGGAAAACTCAACCATATTTAGCAATAATGCTACAAACTTTCGTGGAGCCCGAAATGAATTAAACAAGCTGTTTAAATTAGCCAAAGTACCAGAACAAGGATTATTCGACTATTTGTTGTCAGAGGAGATTGAGTGGAAGTTTATACTTCATAGAGCACCGCATTTTGGTGGGCTTTGGGAGGCAGACGTTAAATCGTTCAAAACGTATTTTAAGAAAACAGGTTGGAAATTCAAAATTAACTATTGAAGAATTTTTAACTTTAGTAACACAAATAGAGGGAATATTAACTCCAGACCAATTTCTCCTCTCTCTTCAGATGCAATGGATTTTAATGCATTAACGCCTGGACATTTTTTAATTGGCCGTTCTATAACAGCCCCCGTAGAACCAGAAATTATAAATAAGTCTGACAACAGATTGTCTAGATGGGAAAGAGTCACCAAAATGACTCAAAATATTTGGAAAAGGTGGCAACGGGATTACTTATCGCAACTTCCCGAGAGAACGAAATGGCAGTTGTGCAAGTATAATAATTGTATGTGTATAATTTGTATGTATTTGTATTGCAAGTATAATATTTTTATTTTCTTATTATATATTGAAGCTAATTGTAATTGAAATAATTAGTGTTAAATTGCATTTCATTGTGTATTTCATATGTATGTCTAAATTTGAATTTGATTGTAAAACTTTTATGGCATTATTAAAACTTGTTTCAAGGGGGTGGCGGAATGTTCGGTTTAATATAGCGCCCTCTAGGATCAGCACCCTCTTGTGAGAGGAGACAAATTTAGTTGAGTTGGTTGTAAAAGTAGGTACGCAGCGGACCTATGGTGCGTTCGTTCGTTCGTTCCACTTTGTCTGTGCTAATGGAGCACCTAACTTGTAACCATGTACATTATGTAAATAATTAAATATTTTTGTGGCCTAACTTAGTTAGTTTTATTTTGGAACCAGCGCCAATTATCTCTCGTAACTCATAGCATTTTATATCAAAAATCATTTAATCATCGATAAAAGGTTCTAAAAGAGACACGATTGCTGGCAGCATTGGTGAAGTCTGCAGCTATCTGGCTAAAAGTAGCATTTTCGTTCCTTTTTTCCACCACTAGGGTAAAATATTTATCCTCCTCTTCAGGGTCTGTGGCCATCCTACAGATTCTAGCATGCTTTCACTCAGTACTTCCACCTTCAGCAGTAAAAGAATACTCTACTGCAGCAATTTGCTTAAGACATCCAACTAATTTATTATGATTATATGAAGTCAAATGATGGTTTATAGGCATTCCAAGTCCATGCAATTAAAGCAAAAGTAACAAACCAAATAACAATTACTACAAGTTTAAATTAACAATAATTTTCTAAAAATTAACATTGATTACTGGTGTCTGAACTTTTAATAATCAACACTTGCAGTCAAAAATTAAAAATTACAGCAGTATTTTCAGAAAGTGACAAATGTGATTTTATCTCAAATGTACTGCTTACAATTATGAATATGGAAACATTGTGAGTGCACTGCTTTTTATTCAGATAAGAAGTCTTGCCTTAAAACATCTACCCTCTACATTTATTTTTCCTGCAGTAGCATGGCTGTGAGGAACCAAAAATTTGCATAAATCAGTTCCTTGACAATTGTCAACTACTGTATAGTAGTAATTATACAGTACAAAGTCTGTAATCCGGAATGATCTATAATCCGGACCAAAAAGCCACAAACTTAGGCGGCGCGTAAAGTGTTTACGCATGCGTGTTTAATGCGCGCGTCCACTACGCATATACGTGTAAAGCGTTTACTCATGCGCGCTCTCGATAGAAAGTGACAGAGAGGTTATTGAAAACAAAAAAATTTCGATTGCCAAGTTAGTCGGTATTCTCGACACAGGAATTACAAGACTTGAACAGTGGAACTTTTAACTGAACAAGAAATTATGTCTGTTTATAGAATTAAAGAGAACGCATTAGCACAAAAAATGAAGCAACTTAAGCAACTTGCATTGAAAGAAATGTTTAATAAGATAAACAAATAAATATTAAGCTTTTTTTTCTTTTTTTGCAAATTTTGATACCCTTTAGATCATAATTGCTCTTTATTTCATATTTTTAATTGTACAATTTCTGCATGCCATCTTACCAGATTTAAATTGATGATCTATAATCCGGAAAAAACCTGGAATCGCTAAAGTCCCGACGAGTCCAGATTATGGACTTTGTACTGTACTATCAAAAAGGGAATAACGTGTTTTAAATATTACCCAATGATTCCACCACAGATTCTAAACCAAATGTAATTCGTTCCATGAAATAACACAATAAAATAAAGTCAACACTTTAAAATTAATCTAATTATGTCTAAATAGTAAGAGAGACTACTGTGGTACCCAAAGGCCTGGGTTCGAATGCCAGAGAAAGCATGGTTGAAACTACTGTCTGTCCCTTCAGAGGAGGCAACAGTAACCACCTATTAGGCGCCCCCACAATGAAATGGCCACCACTTCTGGTCTGAGGAGTGGCCAATGCTGAATAGGCAAGTGCCCACCATTAGATTAAAAAAAAAAAAAAAAAAAAAAAAAAAAAAAAAAAAAAAAAAAAAAAAAAAACAGTCTAACATTATTTTAATCAGATTAATCATAACTAGGGTAGCATTAATTATTAAAAACTCCATCCTCTTTTACCAAAAATTTTCTTGTGATACTTTTAAGATATCATTTACAATTCTGAAATAAAGGAAATATATGCATTTGCGATAGAGGTTCTCATCATTTTATGAAACAATAGCATCTGCATTTTCTGTCAGTCATTACTTATATAATTTATATAATGCTAATAATTTATATAGGAAACAGTTTGAAATGTTCTTAACCCCTCCCAAAGAAGAAACAATCATAACAAATAATGCTTAAAACAACATTTAAATGGCATCATAAATATACAGCTATTATAAATAAAACATGTCCAGTTAATAACAGGCAAGCTGACAAAAAATCCAGCTTAATGACTCCGTAGTTCTGCTTTTTTGAGTTTGATATTTAAATTGATTCACAATTTTTTTTAAAGAAATAACTACTTAATTCAATTTTTTAACATTAAAATAGCAAATTAATTTGATGCTATTTCTATACACTCACAAAAGCAGTAGAACTAGTTATATTATATCTCCAGATTTTAGATTATATTAGACATATTAGACATTGTTATCACACTGTCAAGCAGCTTTATTGTTTTGATTTGCTTGCAAACTTGATGTTGTTAAAATCTATAAATGTTAATTAATGTTATCTATTTTTTTGTGTTGATATGGTAAATTCCCAATTGACTGCAGGTTAGATTTACAATATCCTGTCTAAGGGGAAAGCAGGGAAAAAAAAAAAAAAAAAAAAAAAAAAAAAAAAAAAAAAAAAAAAAAAAAAGAAGTTAAGTTTGTTTACTGCAAAATGATGAAAATATGAGTCCAGTCTATCAAATAATATCAGCCAGATAAACTCTTCTAAAAATTAAATTTTAAAGTAAAAAAAATCTAACTATTCTATGGTCTCATGACACTTACAGTTTTAGTTTTTTCATTTCTAATGATGTTTATTTTTTCTATTATTTATGGTGAACTCATACATTTTGAATACTCATTTAATTTATATTATCAAACTTATTCTCTATATTGGATCACAGGTTTTGAACAAAATTTGACTGAAGAAATAGGGATACAGAAGGGATTTTCTTAATAAATGAAAGAAAAGAGTTAAAATAATGGAAACAGATGAAACACCAGATAAGGGAAGTAACTTAACACTTGAAAAATTATTTAAAATACAAATTTACAATGTTCTCTGCATTCTACTATCTCAAACAGATTGCCATTATCAAAAAATTATAACTGTCTGTGATAATATTTGGCTTTTCCTAAGGCTCACCTTTACAATATATGAACACTGCTGATTTTAAGAAATTGGCTACAGATCTCACCATTAAATATAACAAAGATTTAAAAATGTACAAATTCATATGTGAAATTGAAAGTTTTGAGTAATGAAGGTCTTATACAAAATCTAGAATATCTCTTCTCTTCCACAGGCTAGTGATTATTTTGATTAAACCAATTATCGTTTTTCTCTTTGGACATTTTTAACTCTTTTCTACTGCTTCATATGAGAGAAGTTGTAGTAAGTTGAAATTAATAAAAAAACTATTTAAGATCAACTACTGGACAAGAATGATTATTCAACTTTCTATTATTTCAATAGAGTACATTATTATTAAAATATGAATTATGATGATGCAATTAATTAATTTAATGAAATGACAGCGAGAAAAGCACAATTAAATCTTATTAAAAATCTGCAATCATAGGAATGGCTAGTTATAGCATGCATATATTAATAAGAAGTTGTTCTGCAGATCGGGTGGCAAAAAACTGTTTGCCCCCTATCAGTAAATGATGGACTATTATTTAATAAATTATAATCGATTTCATTTGTCTTTTGTGTTGATATATTTTGCAGATTAGTCTGCAAGAAAATAATTTCAAAGATCAACACTATATCTTCATCAATTCAGTTAAATTAACTAAGCTATAATGAGTAACAACAGAGTGAGATATCTTTATACTTGTATATTTGCTCAATGTAACAAAACAAAAATACATTTTGATAAGACTTTATGCCAAGTAAGTCACATTCTTGAAAGCGATCACACAAAAATGTGGATGAAACAAATTATACACCATACCTCTAGGTCTTTTCTGTGGAACTACTGATGCTTGAGCAGCAGCTGCAATGCGCCATTTTTCTTCAAGAGCAGCATTTGAAAACTGAGGATTAGCAGTTGATCTCCGTTTTCGTTCCAGTTTTTTGTTCTTGATATCAGATAATGAATCTCGAGTAACAAGACCTAAGGCAGTGATAAATTCCTTTTTCTACAAAATAAGAAATACTTAGAAAATCATATTAATACGAAACAATAAGAGAATAAACTAATACAAATAGACCTGTCAAGATTACATAAAACAACAGCAAAAGCTGTAATTACATTGAACCTAGAATAATATAAATGCAATAAAATTGAAATTAATATAAACACATACAAAATAAAAAATACTTCTGTTCTAGTTCTAGTTCACAATATGTAATACTTTCCAACAATTTCATACTAATAATACAATTCTGGAACTAAAGGTACTGTTACTTGAATAGCCGGCATCTACCAATAAACTGCCAGTAATAGCACCTGTTATTCAGAAGCTGCTCCGAATTTTTTAAAAAAGATACAGTTATTTATTTGATTAATGTTGCCTATCAATTTCAAACCAATTAGGGTAAGTAAGCAAGCATCTACATCGCTTAATTTTTGATACATCATTCCCACAGAAAGTTCTTGCTTTGACATTTGTTTGACTGGAGTTAATTTTTACTACATGTTGCATCCCACTTTTGTTAGATTATTGAGGGGGAAAAAAAAAGAAACACTCTCTATACATGTGGTATTTTGTCCCCCCCCAAAAAAATTTATAGCTTTCTTATTTTCACATAAGGTGAGATGTCTAATACAAATGCAATATTGGCAAACAGTAAGAAAAGCAGGAGAAATTAGTTTGAGGGCAGTCATTTGCCTTCTTAATTAGCAGAATTCATATGCAGGCAATGACAAGCTATAGAAAATAGTTTGTTGAGTGATTTTGAATGCAACCGAGGGATAATTATGTGTTAGAAACAGAAAATTCTGTTTAATCAATTTGCTGATGGTGAAAATATATTGCATCCCCAAAAGGTGCCAACAGATTATTAGCAATGTATCAATAGTAACAGATAATGTAATCAGGCAATGTTATACAGTTTTAGCCAGCTAATACTACCAGTTAATTAAACTAGTTAATTAATCTGATAGAATTATATGAAAATGGCCTTACTTTCTGATCTATTTTGTTATTTATCTTCTCAGGACTGGGCGGTGGTTGAAATTTTTCAACTGAGTTCACAGGAGAAGTACTTGCTGTAGAACTTCCTGAGGCGGGATCTGTACTATTGTCTAAGCTAGATGGAATTGGAGTTGGAGCATTTGTTGTCACTGGTATGCAGTTACTCACAATTTGTGTTTTCTGACAAGATTTAAAAACAAAACTGATAAATAACAAATTCAATACAGCAAAATCATTTACTATGGGAAGCTGTACAATTTTCTCATAATGCTAATAATGTTAGAATTCAGATCAACAACATATCAATAAAAATGCCTCAGCAATCAGTAAGTAAACAAAGAAAATAATGCTACAGTGTGTATGTGCACATGTGTGTGTGTGTGTGTGTGTTAAGATAAAAAGTATGTAACTCTGAATTATACAGTACAAAGTCCGAGATCTGAACTCGTCGGGACTTGGGCGATTCCGGATTTGGGATTTTTCCGGATATTAGATTATCAGTTTAAATCTAGTGAGATGGCACGTATAAATTATAAAATTAAAAATATGAAATCGTGGTTTATGAAATAATGAAGCATTTATGGTCTAAAGGGTATAAAAAAGGCTTAATATTTATTTGTTTACTTTATTAAACATTTCTTTTAATGCAAGTTTTTTTTTGTGCTAATACTTTTCTCTTTAATTCTGTAGACAGACATAATTTCTTGTTCAGTTACATTGTTGGAAGTCCTGTACCTGCTGTTTCGAGAATTCCGATTAACTTGTCAATCGAAATTGTCTCGTTTTCAGCAACTTCTCCTTCACTTTCTTTACTATCGATAATGGTATTTTCTGGGTCTAGAACCATACTATAGATTTCGCCGTCCATTTATTGACTGATGATTGGAACATTGCCATCGCAATGAAAAACTTCTGCTATATCATCTTTATTTATTACTGCTTCTCCACATTTCTTTACAAAATCTATTAATTGGAAGCAGATACGCAGCTACGGAGCCAATTTATTGATCACACAAATTTATGCTAAAATGATTGTTTCTTCAATAATGAGGCAGTTTATTCAGTACCAAAGTGAAATTAAGAATCCGGATTCTTCACATGCTTTCTTACGGGGAGAAAAAATAAAATGAGCATGAGTAAAGCATTAAAAAAATTTCCTAAAAAAATTTTGTTGGCGGATTTAAGGTCTGAATTTTAGATCATTCCAGATATTGGACGTCCGGACCTTGGACTGTATTTGTACTATACTTTAAATTAGCAATTATCAAATGACCCTTGATTCCTCATTTTGGTTTGAATACTTCCTCCTATCTATTCTTAAAGTCGTACTAACTTTTTTGAGACTGTGCCATTTGAAAACTAATTTGGCATTATGCTATCTTAACCTTCTGCATTGTGTATAGTTCCTAGCAAATCAGATTAAAGAAAAATTTTACTATAAATACAATTCAACTACACTCCCCTTTTTCTTTGCCTACACTTCCTAGCTGAAGGACATTTCTTGTTTGGCCACTTCCATTAAACATATCATCATCAAAATTGTGGAGTCTGTGCTCAGCCATTTAACAGAGTAATCAACAAGTAATAAAGATATATTTAGACTATCAAGTGATTTTGTGAATTCCTCAAAAGTTCCCATTATCTTCTATGTAATCGATATTTTCAGGGATCTCAATCCAGTTGCGACAATAAAATAACGTCTTCTCCTCTAGTCAAATACTCATCTCATATCAAATTACTGCAGCAAACCGAATTATTTCATGACATGCATAGAATATGCTGAATATACAGGGGTTGGACAAAAATATGGAAACACCTTTAAAAAAAACATGTTTCTTTGCTTAATATGGTGTAGGAAACCCGTTGGCATCCAAAACAACTTGCAGTCTTTTCGGAATGGATAAATACAGTTCCTGTATGTTTGCCAAGGGAATATTATACCATTCTTCCTGCAAAACAGTGGCAAGTTCAGCTAACGATGTTGGCGGTGGATAACGAGAACGCACTTTCCGTTCCAATGTACACCACAAAGGTTCGATAATATTCAGGTCTGGTGACTGTGGTGGCCAGGGAAGATGGGACAACTCATCCTCATGCTCTGAAAACCAGTCCTGGACAATGTGAGCAGCGTGAACAGGGCTTTGTCGTCTTGGAAGACACCATAACCATCGGGGAACAAAGTTTGTACCATGGGATGAACTTGATCGGCCAAAATGTTCACATAAGTCTTGGCAGCCATGTGCCCCGACACAGTTATCATGGGGCTAGCAGAGAACCACAATATGTCTGCCCAAATCATAACAGAACCCCTGCCATGTTTCACTCTTGGCAACAAGCAGTCTGATTATAGGCTTGAGATGGCGTTCTCCAGACGTAAACTCGGCCAGAAGTGGGAAACAATGTGAAAGAAGACTCGTCAGACCATATTACTCGCTTCCACTGCTCTATAGTCCAGGCTTTATGACTTAAACACCACCTTTTCCTGTTACGGGCATTAGCATCACTGATGAGTGGCTTCTCAATTGCAGCAGGGCCAGCAATTCCCTGTTTATGAAGCTCCCTTCTAATTGTTTTGGTACTCACAGGGTTCGGTAACACAACATTCATTTCAGCAGTAACTTTTGCAGCTGTGGTCTTCTTATTTTTCGTCACAATTGCCCTTAATGATCATCTGTCACGATCACTCAGGACACACTTTCGTCCGCGCTGTGATTTAGCAGATGATGTTTTTCCGCTTTTCAAATATGCGGAATAAATCTTCGATACAGTACCTCTTGAAACACTAAACACCTTGGCTACCTTGCTTACGGAAGCACCTACCATACGTGCTCCAACAATTTGCCCACGTTCGAAGTCTGTTAACTCTGACATAATGCAATGACAACCTCACATAACAGTACTCCGACAACAACTGAACTGTTTAACACATTTACGAAGTTGTATAGGTGGCGTCAGTAGTCAAAAATACCAGCGCCACCTACATATTTCATTAAAATCAATCTTTCTTTTCAAAGATGTATTTCACAAGGTGTTTCCATATTTTTGTCTATCCACTGTATATACTGTACTTACTCACATATTCCCTCTGTCTCTTTTGCTAATTTTATTATATAAAAACTAACAAAAAAAAAAATTACATGAATAATTTAATTCTCAAACGATGCAGTTACAATAAGAAAACAACAAATTAGAAGTACTATTACAAATTTTGTATATAAGTAATTAATTTTAGTGAAATTATATATATATGCAAAATTGAAACATCTTTTGTATAATGCAACATAAAATGCCTAAAAGAAACAAAACTCTGGAAAAAAAAAAAAAAAAAGAATACAGGAGCAAATCTATTTAACACTGAGCAAATGGCTATAACCCTAAACTGGCGAGATATCGCCAAGCTGGTAATGGTTTTGGAGATTTATTTTTATTGCCAAAATTTGCCAAACTTGGAGACCATTTGGTGAAATTTTGATTCAGTCCCTGTATAGCTATGATTGGTACAGTAATTGATCCCTATATGTAACTGTAACCATATCCGCCCCCTATGTGTAAATTTAACTGTATTTTGAGAAATGGAAGGTACTAGAGATTTTTTGGCAGCTGAGAGGGAACTATATAAAACCAGAGATAGTATCAATTTCTCAGTTTTTCAGAATATTGAGAGATCTTCGTAGGAGCTTTGCTGTTTAGTTGCACTTTGCATTGTGCTGTGTTTAATGTTCTTAGTAGTTTAAGCGAAACTACTGATTTTACTCAGTGATACTGAGAAGAGCTGTACAAGTATTTTTGTGGAAAGTTCCAGAGCTGTAACGTGTTTCTTTTGGGAAAAATAAATTTTATCAAGTTATCAGTTCTGCGTGCATTTCATCTATCACAAACCCATAATTTAAGGAAGCTTGAATTTTGAATGCCCTGAGGAAAGAGAAAATTATGCACATATTAAAAAAATAATTCAGAAAAGAATTTTTGAATTATTTGTTTTGTCCTAAAAGTTTTAGGATAAAAATCCACAAGTAGGTCAAATAACGAGTAAACACATTAAATGAAAAAAGAATTTATATCTTCTGCTGCACTATATTACATAATTTGTGTCTTTAAGTTCAGGTAACGGCTGATTTACTTGTTACTAATCCCTTCATTATCCCATATTTATTTACCAATCCCATCATGGCTATGCAGCAAAAGATGTAAATTTCTTTTTTCATTTTTGGTTTTCGCATGTTTTGTTCCTTTTCTTGCAATTTGCCACTCTGCTTCTGGTTTTTGCACATGGTTTATTTTGAACTAAACATGGATGAATTTTAAATGTGTTATTTAATTTACTTTATATATATAAATATATTCTAGCATTATTTTCTTACACATTATAACATTTTCTTCTTTTACCTATTTTTTATTTCCATTTCTGTATATGTGTGTATATGTATGTAATGATGTAGAAATATTGATTCTGTAGATAGATGTTGAAGCGTATATAGAAGATTTGCTGCTCTAATGCTTTTCTTTCAAAAAGGCTTTTCCCTTTGCTAGGGCTTTTCTTCTTCAAGGGGGGGATAAAGCTATAAATCAAAATTATAATTTAAATTATTAACTTCATAATTCTTCATTTTAATTTGGGTATTTCCCTTCTGTATTCTAAAAAGAGTAATTCTTCATAACTACTTTCTCTGGAGTGTGTCATTTTTAGATTTATCCATATTATACGAGTTTTATACAAGGCTCTGATGAAAACAGCTTATATAAGCCATCAGTCTGTAATAATTCTAGAGCTTTATTAATTGTCCAATCAAATGGTATTGAAACCGAAATTAATCCATTAAGATTTCACCCTGCAGTCTAGTTTTCAGGCTCCTACCAATGAGCCAACAAATCAGTTCGAATACTGCTGTTGCCAACTTGACAGTTTCAATAAATTAATCTCACAGAGCTCATTAATCATAATAGGAACTGCATTCCATCTCGACAATGACAGATCTTGCAAAGCGGTGCGTTCATTTGTCTCGAAAACCACGACGCAGTGCATATGTGCTGAGAGTTTCAGTGTATCTTTGTTGCTCCATGGGTGTGAACGTACGTAGTCTGACCTTACGCATACTTTGTAACGAGTGCATTCTAAAGTAACTAACTGCATCGCGGTTTTCGAGACAAATTAACGCAGCGCTTTTGCACCGTGTAGCAGTCAAAGGTTAATCACCTGAAAAAACTTATTGGATTTTGGATGTAAATTGTTGCCACACGTATCATATTCGCTTGATCTTGTGTCCTCAGATTTTTCACTTGTTTCACTCTTTTCCAAACTTCTTTCATGGTATAACATTCATTTCAGATAACACACTAAATCATTGTTATTTATCAGTTAATCATCAGTTATTTTCAATAAAATTGTTACCTTGTTTAGCTTTTTACTGATAAAGCTAGGTTCTTATACAAATGAAGAATTACAAAGCTTATTAAAAGAAAGCAAACAGTTATTGACAAAATGGACAGTATACTATTGATTGCTCATTGATTTTTATGTAAACAGAGGACTTTTGAAGAACATAAGTGTGATGTATGGGTGATGCCAACCAACAAGATATATAGAGGGCGCTAACTCTCAGTCTGGAGAGGCGCCAAAAGTTTAGTTTCCAAAAGAGAGACCGACAAAGAGGTCATACGGAAGGCTCGTGGGAGCCATTAATGAAACCGAAATTCACTTTTATTACTTTATATATTTCAGTTATTAGTATTGTAGTTTAGTATTAGTTTTGTGTTTGTAAAATAAATGTTTAAAAATACAAGAAGGTGCAGTTATTTCTCTATGAGGCGGTGGATGAAGAAGGGATGATATAAGAAATAATGATTTTTCAGACAGCCATATATGATGTCAATATGAAAATAAAATGGTCTGAACAATACTAAACTGATGAGAATTTCTAATTTTATGTAACTGCAAGTTACAGTAAAAAAGCATTAAAGCTGTAGCATTTTGTTTCTATTCAATGAAATAAAATATCGTACATAATTTTTCACAAGAAACAGAAATATTGCATTTTGATTTCAAGCCATCTCTTTCATTATTTCACTCTTTAGTGTACAAATACTTTGATATAAATCATCAAATGACTTAAAAGATAATTTCTTCAAACATATCCAATAATAAAAGAAAAACTGAAAGAAAAATTTGAAGTTTCATAGTGACAGCCCAAACAATGGGAAAAAGATACATAATATGAAAACAATTTTTAATTAATAAGTAACTAACATACCTACATTTAAGTAAATTAATAAACTAAAAATACAGCTACTGAACAAAGTCAGAGACAGCTGATGAGTAGAAATATTTTCATATGTATTTAAAACAGCTAAAATATTTCAAGATAAAACTTACAATAGGAGCAGGTGTGCGAGGCAATGGCGGAGGATACTGAGGCACTCTGATTGGTGGTGGTACCAGATTAAGTAAAACCCCTGTCTGTGGTCCATCAACACTACGGTTGGACGGAGACGGCACCACAAGAACCGGATGCACCTTTTGATGTTCAGCAACCTTAGATGACAACAAAGCATTGGCTGTTGAACAATTTGGCAGGACAACTGTACCCACTGGAGCTTTGAATGTAAATGTAGCTGTTGGGGTGGCAATATTATTGATCGTAGGAGGCACTGTTTGGCGTACTGTATTGACACAATTTGCAACTGGCTTTGTTGCTACAGTCTTTACATAAAAAGAAAAAATTAAAAAGATTTTTTAAAAATATTTTTATTAAAATAGTCATATTTAAAGCAAATATTATTAAACACAACTAAAAATTTTAACAAGTCCACAACATTTTAAAATACTGTTAACTTATTTTACAAAGATAAATATGCAGATGGTTCAAGCAGTACCATTGTAATAATTTATCATGTAATTCTGAATTCTCACAGTCTAGTGCAGGGATCCTTAACACATCCGCCAGTGGTTTCCCATGTGCTCGCAGCTGTCTGATCATGATAATAAATTATTTAAATTTTCAATAAAATTGTTATTTTGAATTTTTTTATAGTTATTAAATAACTAAGGAAATGTAAACACATTTTTTTATAACTGCCATTTAAAAGATCTACAGACTTGGCCATTTCCCAAATACAGAACGGGGGGAAGCGAAGCTGAAATCAACTAATCTTTATTTGTTATCAATCTTCAATTACACCAACCAATTTGAAAAACAATTTTGACAGTTTAATATTATCAAGACAGTAGTCACTCTTTTTATCAATCCTTTTACTTGCCAAAACCAAACTAGCTGCATACACTGTACAATTTATTCAAGCAAGAATGAAAAAACTCAAGCTAAAAATTGTGTACCTTCAAAATGACAGAGTTTTAGTTCCACATATTTGCCATGAATAATTGCTTTCAATACTGAATACCTCAGAATCAAAGTACAGATATAAAGATAGAGGTGAAAATTTTGATGCTTGCTTAACGAGCAGGTACATCATCATGCTGTCCAAATTATGAAGCAATGAAATAAATCAAACATTACATTGGTTTTAAGAATTAGATTTTCATAAAGAATTTTTATACCAATGAATTATAAACCAAAGAATTTGTTAAATTTTATCTGCATTATTTATTTTACACTCTTAGACAAAAAAAAAAAAAAAAAAAAAAAAAAAAAAAAAAAAAAAAAAAAAAAAAAAAACACGCACCATGCAAAATGTTACATTTTGGCAGCCAATGAATGAGCGGTGTCACTACAGCACATCTGGCAGGATATTTAAAAGGAGAAATTACAATTCCAGGTCATAAATTCTTCAAGAATTTCATTCCGTGTACTTTGGTAGACAATAACTATGCCTCGCATACAGGTGCACAAACCATATGCGCAGATGTCAGAATTTGAGAGAGGTCATGTAGTTGGGCTCAAAGAAGGCGGTTGGTCTTATCGGCGAATAGCTCAACATTTCAGCAGGAGCGATGCCACTATTAGACGATGTTGGCAGGAATGGGTGAACCATGGCCTTAGCGTCAAGAAGGAAGCGGTAGGCCTAGAGAAACAACAGAACGTGAAGACCGAGCAATCACCAGAGCAGCACTCGCAGCCCCAGATGCATCATTATCATCGATTGTACGTGCAACTAGTGCTTCAGTGACCGCAAGGACCATTCGTAGACAGCTCACAGAAAAGGGGGCTGAGGTCACAACGCCCCTTGCGCCGACTACCATTGACTTCTTTACAACATCAAGCCGTTTGCAGTGGTGTCGGGCTCATTAGCACTGGAATGTCACTGACTGGAGTAGAATAGTCTTCAGTGATGAGTCCCGCTTTGAAATGAGCCCTGATGACCAGCGAAGGCGAATCTGGAGATGCCTTCGCTGCAGTGCGATACCAACCTCACTGTCTTCTGGCAGACAACCAGGAGTGATGGTCTGGGGTGCCATTTCATTTCATAGTAGGACCCCTTTGGTTGTCATCCGTCGCAACCTTACAGCACAGCGGTACATCGAGGAAGTTCTAAGGCACATTGTGTTACCCTTCATGTCATGCCACCTTGGACTTACATTTCAGCAAGATAATGCCCGACCCCACACTACACATACTTCTAAGCACGTTTTGAGCATTATAGGCAGGGAACTCCAACCAGCTCGGGATGTTGACGTTGTAACGCACCAGTTGGACAGAATTTGGCACGATATTCCTCAGGAGGACATTCGCAACCTCTATCAATCGATGCCAAGCCAAATAACTGCTTGCATAAGGGCCAGAGGTGAACAAATGCGTTACTGACTTTTTCACTTTGAAAAACTCAATCACTTCAATAAATCATCCAATTTTTCTCAAATTGTAATCATTTGTTTTTCTGTACATGTACATGTACATCACTTCTACCGATTTTCGTCACATTCAGATAACTCCTTCTTGGTGCATCTTTTTTTTTGTCTGAGAGTGTACATAAGAATACAATCAATAATTTTTATATCTTAAAATTATGCTTTTGAAAATTTTTTACATTATGTGTATTATATGTCAACTTATAAATTTAACTTGAAAAGATAAGTCTGCCTGCCACCCCCATTGGTATTCTAGAATATACTCTTAAAAAAAAAAAAAAAAAAAAAAAAAAAAAAAAAAAAAAAAAAAAAATGATGGGGATTCCTGGTATAGTGATTCTTAAGATTTTTTGCTTCATTTCACCATTCTTGCATACATCAGAATGCCAAGCATTACCATTTTTTATTCATGTCATAAATTTCATACAGCAGGTAAAAATGTACTGTTAGTTTCAGGAATTTACCAAGTGTTAAATAGAAATTAAGCACAAACATTTACTTTGATATTAAACACTGCTTTATAAAATGCTTTACATTCTCTATATTGGATTAAAATAAATCAAACCACAGAAATTGATCAGAAAAATTACAATGAAAACCATTCTTTATCAAAAGAATTTGCATTATTTGAAATTTAATTAAGGACAACTATGCCATCATCTAACTTTATTTAAGGACTTGAAATCAAAGTCTTCTTCATAGCATTTCCTTTTTCTTTGATACTTAGTAATCAGCACTTCTTCATATAAATTCAAATAAATTAAAAATTGGGATTGAAAATCTGGTATCTTCTGATCTTAGTGGGAGGGCTGGCAGTTCTCGGTATTACGTATATGGCTATGGTTGGCAGCTCTGTATATTATTTTTTATATATGCTACTAAATCTATAATTCCATACATAACTTTATTATGTAAACATAATAGTAAGTTTATAAACAAATTAATATGAAAGGTTACTGGCTATCTTATGCAGTCTACACTCATATGACAAACTTCCTAATACAACTGAATTCTTATTAGACCTCTTATTATCTGAATTATTTGCATTTTTTTTCTAGGTCAAATAAAATTATACCGTACACAATTTTTACTTCCTTGCATAAAATAAAGGAAGTATTGTTTTCACAAAAAAATTTTGGTTTTCAGATTCAACAGAAATATCCATTCTGTCCAACCCTGAATTCATTCCGACTAGTTTAGGTGTGACATATGTATGTATGCACGTATATACCGAGTACGCACATATATGTCTGGCATAACTCAAAGGCGACTAGCCATAGAACACTGAAATTCTGTACACGAAACTGATATAACATCTAGTTATATATCTCTATTTTTAGTTCAAACAGCCTTTCTAAAACACCACTTTTAGGCATTTTGAATTTTATTCTGAGAATTTTCTAAAGCTTTATCTAATAAATAAATCATCTCATATAACCGAATAATTTTGTGGATTTTGTTTGATTGTTTTAATATTTATTATCGTGAATATTTTCCATATCTACATTTTCTACTTCATTAGATTCATTTTGCCAGGGCAAAAATAACAAAATTTGTTTGTGATACTAAATGAATGATTCTTGATCATTCATCAGATACCATCTGTATCTGAAAACAGCAATTTTTTCTTTAAGTTGGTATTCAATTAATTCAGCATCATTGTCAGAATTCTGAATATCTAGAAATAAAATCTGCTAAATATGTATTTCAAATGCTGGTGGTCTGTTGGTGTACTTTGTTATGTCGTTATCTATGAATATTTCAGTAGAATCAAAATTCAATTTCGTAATTCAGTCAAAGAATTAATGTTAACGCACATACATTTATTGTACTTGTGTTAATATAATTAATTTTTCTACTACTTTTTGACAATAGCAAAGATAAAAACATGATATGCTGTTTCTTGTGCCGACATTAAATTACTATTAAAAAATATGTTAGCAATTTTTTGAAAATTTTCTTTAAATATCACTGCTACTAATATCATATTCTGAATGATGTAAAAGTTTAGACAGATCTGCATATACTTTTCCTATGTAGTTAATTATGTAAGATGCTACATCACATTCTTTCAAAATAAACTGTATGTTGTATGTTTATATTAATTTTAAATAAATGTAATATGATTTTGTTAGATTCATGGATGTGGTCTAGCTAATGCCTAACCAGTTGGAATCAGTAACAACAACAACAAATCAATTGTCAAATTCATAACACGCTGTGGAAAATTAAATCAACATTACATTTTATTTTTCGTATCTCTAACACGTACGAGTATGTCTATGATGCTGGAATTGCCATAAAAATATCATTCTCATCATACTTACAAGTTATAAATCTATATATACATTGTATGCATTCTTTTACACTTTAGTTATTAATAGAATCATATGCAGATACCTCTTTAATCCAAAGAAAAATATGTTTGTGCAGAGATCCACGTACTTGAAACTCTATCCATTCATAACTGTGTTCAGCTAAATGTTCATCAAAAACACTGTTTTAACATTTTAACTTAAATTATTTGCTTTGTAATCAAAGTATGGTGCACAGGTTGCTGGATCTTACATAATTAATTCTGATTTTTCTGTGCTATCTAAATGTAATGCATGTTCAATTGAAATTGTTTTATACAGATTTGATTTACTTAAACTCTGTAATAAATCTGGCCAAATCTTTTCACTTGGTGACAGCATTAAAAAACTGTAGGTTTGCCTTAATTGCCTGATCACTGTCATTGAATTCTCCCTTTTTTTATTCCCCATAAAAAGAACTAATTTGCTGTAAAATTTTATTACCCTGGTTTAACTTATAATACTATTTAAATGTTATATTTAAAACATTTTTAATTTGCATATGTGTAATTCACATTTTGCTTTCCTCAAATAAATACTTAAATTAGCTATGCATGATTTTTCTAATTTCCTTTTAACCATAAAAATAATCCATGACCTTCAATCTTAATGCCTAATCTCTGATTTCTCCAGATTGCCACATGAATTAATATTGTATAAATATCTGACATAAATTAAGACTAATATTTTAGCTACTACATAACTGCCCACTTATTAAGGAATTTGGAAGACAGTATTTCACTTTCAAATGAAATAAATTTAAATGAAGTGCAGCAAATATACACACACATACACATATATATATATTAAATATATGTGTGTATAATTTAATAGGTATACAAGTCATAAAGCATTCACATCTGGTTTTTTAGAAAGCTACCAAGTTAATTCTGATGAATACATACAACACACATAATATTGGATAGAAACATAACCTACAAATATTAATGAAATAAGCTATGTATTTTGCTTTAAGCAAATTAAAGGAACACTTTAATTTGAAACTTTTGTTTGAAATGTAAAAAAAAAAAAAAAAAAAAAGGGGGGGGGAGGGGAGGGGAGAGAGAATTATGTCTTTAGTTTTACTAGAAGTAGATTGCAATAAGTTTAGACAAATAATAATAATAATAATAAATCTTAATTTTGTTAAATAAAACATATTGTACATTTCACTTGATTTGTGAAAATAAAAAAATAAAACTATTTATGCTACAGTAATTATATATTTTGCCTACAAAGAAAAGACAACCCAATCTTCTGATCACTTTTAAATATCTGGATATGTTGTGATCACAGCTAATTTAGGTATTCGGAATTCCAATGTATTTTATAAAATAATAATGGTAAAAAGACATGCAGAGAAAATAAGATTTTCAGTATAGCTGCCCGCCCCCCAAAAATAATAAATAAACACAATCATACTAGTTGTAATTTATTGCAGTTTAAAATAGAATTATTTTCTTCATTAATATTGTATAAAACGGAAATAATAAACTTGCTTGGAAAAGATAATTTATTTGAAAATACCGTTGTTGCTATCTTGTGATTTGCCATTGGACACTTCTGTGCACAGCATACCATTCTTATTTCTTGATTTGATGTTTGAAGACTGTGTGTATTTGTAGCAGCTGGAAATCCAGACATGCTGTTAGAACAAGAATATGGACAAGACTGCTTTTTCTCCAAGTTTTTCCTCAGATCTTCGACAACTTGTTTCTAAAAAGAATTATATAACATCTTACTACAGATATATTTACACTACTGTTGTCATAAATAAAGGTAACAGTGCAAAAATACTTTTAAAAAACTGCATAACTGTAGCTGCAATAAAATAATTAATCTGATACTGTTCATTCTAAAATTATAATACTATTAATATTATAATTTGGATATTTAATTAATAAATTTTATAATTTATTATATCCAAAAATATAATAAATATTTTTCAGCATTATAAAATTAACGATCTTTCATAGATCTATCTTTTTAGATTATGCATGTGATTAAGAATTATTATTAGTATACGACAAGTATTATTAAAAAGAAATCACACTCACGCAAACTAAAAATATCAGTATCAGTAAATGCCAGAATACAACAAACTAATACTGCAGGAGATGATCTGAAAGATTGTAAAAATTCTATTTACAATGACTACAAAAATTTTACGTAAAACTGAAACAAAATTAGAGTTAAACTCGTTAAGTACTTACAGTTGCCATTCTGAAACTAACGCAATAAAAAAGGGACAATTATTACAGGTATTAAATTTTTTGCACACATAAATTCATCCTACAGCATGACTCATCAGAAAACAATACTTATTTCCATAAATTGACATACTACATTTTATGATCCTCATAACACTGCAGTCTTTTATTTATGTCAATGTCTACTGTCATTGTTTTCATTTATTTGCAAAATTAAAAGCTTTAAGATAGCAGCTTGATGATATTCTGCATAATCTCAGAAATCACCCTTGTAATAGTAGTTTCTTTTTTATGTAAATGTTTTTTTGATGTCCTTCTGGTTTAGTCAGAAGTTTTGTTATCTTCCCATCCCTTGCACCACAGACAATGTTTTGCTGCTAATATCATACACCATCATCAGTTAAAGACACAATACATTTTGACATCCCCAATAATTTTATAACTGAGGTTACAGATGCTTCAATAAACCAGGCACCAACTTTTTTTTAATCAGGCACCAACTTTTTTATAATTCATTTTTATACTTCAATAAACTCACTCATTTAAATTTCTTTGCAGCAAACTAAAACTACAGCTGAAATTTTGAGTTTTATACAGCCTCGGAAATATTTGTAAAATAATCATTAAAAAATGTAGGAGGGCACTTTTTTTTTTATTGTTTCTTGCATACTGAACAGAAACAAAACTTTTTTTTAATTAAATGTAATGTTTCCATTAATTTGAACAACTTCTTATATTATTAAAAAGCTCCTCACTTTTCATTCATAATTTTATACATAAGTTCATAAAAATGATTTTCCGAACAAATTTTTAAGTAACCAGAAATAACTTGTGAATAATTTTAATGACATATTCTATAAAATTAAATTTACTTACAAAGGGTGGCACATGTATTTATTCGCATTAGTCATTGGCAAATATCATATTTTCTCACATATTTTCCTCCTAGTGTTTCATTATGAGGTTCTGAAAATTTAAAAAATATGTATGTAATTTTTCTCCTTTACCAATGCACTTCAGAGTTCCTTTATATTTGTCCACTTATTGAAAAGTTTTCATCTTGCTAACAAAAACAAACCGTCTCAAACTACCCATGAGAGTCGCACTAGACCTTCCCTTTCCAACTGTTGAATGTCAGCTAATATAGCCACTAACTAACTGTTGAATGTCAGCTAATATAGCCACTAACTGACTGTTGAATGTCAGCTAATATAGCCACTAACTGTTGAATGTCAGCTAATATAGCCAAATCACAGCAATGCAAATACAAACTGACATTCAATCTATAATTTCACTGAGTCAGCTGCACCTTCTCTAATCTTTATGAATTTTTATGGATGATCTAAGACTTAAATGATAAAAAAGACAAGAATAAGAATGGGCAAGATTCAAGTTACATGGAAGTAGAAATGAAGTTATCTTCTTAGATGTTGTAATGTTGATATCACTATGTATTGTAATTAGAATGTAGGTTTCTTTTAAAGAAATATTGCAATAGTTACCTGTAGTTTACACCTCATTACTCTCCATTTGTAGCTCCCAACAGGATAGTGGTTAGTAACTCTGACTCCAGGAGAAAGCATGGATGTTGTAAATGTGTTGTGTTTTTTCAGCATGGAGGCACTTAATACATGGTGAGACAAAAGTTCTCTGTGGTTTAGTGGTAGGGGTAGAGGAGTGGGAGACCTTTGGACTGTCCTCCCTCAAAATCCTACTGTCACCTATATGATGCTCAAGGCTCTTGCCAACAACAGATGCCATTAATTAAGATACAATAACATGCCGAACAAATATTAATTTAGAAGTCAAACAACAAAAATCAGCGTTATATTTTCAAATTTTCACAGGACTAGTTTCGATGGTTTTACCGAACCATCATCCTCAGCTGCAAAAGCGCAAAATGATGCTATCTTGTAATTCTTCCCACAATAAGATTCATGGGGTTATTCTGATTATGTCAGACAAGTGAGATTATTCACAACACAACTTTTCATTTGTTATGTTCTTACTGTAACCATGTCCTTTGAAAATTGAATTATTCACACAATTTTCCCTTTTTGATTTTTGGATGATAAAATTAGTAATAAATCAGCAAAAATGCACAAGGAAACAGAATGTATTTTGATACTGTCACAAATCAACTTGTCAATTTTCAAAAACACTGCCTAAATACTTGTAGCTCAGTGTACTTTTCAAATCATAAGTTTTAAAATTCTAATTTGAAAGGAACTCAGAAGACATGCATGCTTCCCCCTTTTTAAATGGTTCGAGATTGCTGCAGACCTACCATGTTAAACTTTAGAATTTTAAAACCTCGCTAATAAAAGCAGTATAGTACCCAGTGATGCTGTTTGCTGTTGGACACTCAGATCTCCCCTCGGGTTGTCCTCCATAAAAACTGAAAAACAGCTTTCCCCTTCATTTATAGTGTAAAACTGGTGACCCCTGTGGTGAACTTTGGGCAATATTTTTGGTGCTGAGATGGTTAAATGATAATGATCGATAGGTCAGCCCATTCCTACACATGCTTAATTAGCAAAATGTTTGGCCAGAAAAATTTACAATTTAAAATGTGCACACAAATGTGAATTATCATTTAACAACAGCTGAGATTATGTTATAAAAATAATAGAAGTATAGTGATTGGTTTAGGATTTTATTTTCAATTTTTCAATAATCCTCATATAAAAATAACATCAAAATATTTTCATATCAAAATATTTTCATTGCAAGATAGGCAATAAATATATAATTATATAAAAAAAAGAAAATATGAAAACTGCGTGCCATATAATATGCATAAATTAAAACAAGATATTTAAATTTAGCTTTTATTTTTGGAATGCCTTTGTGTTTCACCTTGGAAGCTTACAACCAAACATATCTTAAGAATATCTACTATCTAAAAATACAAACAAACATTTCATCCATTAGTTTGAAAATGCATGAATGCCGACTGGGTGATCCGAAGTTAAATTGTTAATACAACAGCTTATTCTGCGCAAGCTCAGAATGCGCTAAAGTTTCGCCGTCGGAAAACAGTTAAGTTTCGTCCTTTCGCCCACCTGCATCTCGCGTGATACGGATCAGAAAAAGAATTCGGCGCATGTGCGAAACTATCGATTTCTCTTCCTTGCTAAAAGTACTCTTCCCAAACGTTCACGCATCTCTTCAAGTACTCCAGGACGAAAAGTTGGGGAGTTTTTTATTTGTTACTGTTTCGCTGGAAAGACAAAATTTTCCGCTCAGCAAATATAACACTCTAGCGGAACTCCTTAACACTTTCGGAATCTCGCTTGAAAACGTTATTTATTTTTTGTAAATTTAAACGAAAAATTGAAATCAGATTTAAAAACAATTTACATGGAATAAATACAATAATTAAAAAAATTAATATACATATTAAATATTGTATAATTTATTTTGAATGTTTAATTCAGAATGCTGCGTAATTTCTTTTAGAAATCATCGGTTTGAAATGAAAAAGTCGTCAAGTGTCACTACTTATATATAAATACTACTTATATATAAAGTTAAAAATCATTTACCACAGTACCTATCTTTTGGTCATAAAGATTGGACACACACGATTTAAGAATATATATTAATAAATACCAAACGAATACACACACACACACATATATATATATACAAATAGCGGCTCACAACTGCTTTCGAACACTTGCATTTTTATAATTTATTTGCATAAGTCTTGTCCTAAATATCAAAACACAGATTACAAATTTTTCCTAATATTATTATTTATTTATTTATTTTTTCCCATTTTAAGACTCACATGTTGCACAATAAACACCATCAAAATATTCTTTGCAATAAAATAACTTATTCCTAAAGTATTAACCAGTAACTTATACAATTCGGAAACTCGAAAGTTTTATTGAGATATTTTAGCAGATGATGTTTCTTGCCAGAATTTGTTGTTTTAAAATACATCACACGAATTATCATCTGCACTTAAAAATAATTACTTATTTAGCGAAATACCTGAAGTATTCCACACCTGTCAAGACGCTCTCTTCGAAATTTAACTATTCACCACTTTAAAGCCATTCAAAGTATTCAAAATAGCCAAAAAATCCTAAATGTAAAGCGTTCAACTATCTTCGATGTATTAAATGGATGCGTGGGACTGTTTTTAAAATGCATTGAAGTACCTACATAGTAAGCTAAGAAGACGGAATCGCAGAGTTAGCCTACGAAAAATCCAACAAAATTCGGAGATTAACAGTGAAAAACTTTAAGGAGATTTGGAAAACCATTAAAACGCAATAAAATGTTTACCGCGGAACTAACAGAAAAGTTATTAGAGCATATGGCTGTAATGCGCGATTATCAAGAAAACAATGAAAATATGCAGGGCGTTCTCAAAATTTATGGTAAGCAAAGATTTTTCTATTGAATTACTTACTAGACTAGTCAAAATTTGGTGCTACTTTGGTAGACGGTTGCACGGATTTTGGCGATTTTTCTTTTGGCGAGTAATAC